ACCTATTAAAAATTATGTGAGCCCAATTCCACCTCCCCCCCCCAAAAAAAAATTTTACTGTAATTGCATTCTACCTGGACAAACATGTAGTCACTTGAACATGAAGCAATTTTGGGATTACTTTGCAAAGAAAACCTTAGAAAAATCTATTTCTTAAACAGAGACACTGAAACATGTAGAAAAGTGATAGTGTTTTCTGTAGATGGAACTGGAATTCATTTATGACTCCCAGGGAACTTCATCTTCTCTGCATGACACTCAACTTCAAGGGCTTTTTTTTCATATATTTGTATTGCAAACATATTTACATGCATGTATAAGCACCTGTATTAAATATAAAATTAATCACATTAAAGAAAAAGTGATAAGGGAATGAAAGTCATTTAATTTCTCACTAAGATAAAAAACTGTGCTCCTGGTCTGCCAAGTCTTGCCTAAGCAAGAAAACAAAAAAAATAAAAACCATCATGTAAATTTGCAAACCATAAACCTTACACACAAGACAGCATTTTTAAAATGCTACCCTTGCAATTAAACAAGCCAAAATTGTTGTTCTGCAATATTTCTGCTAAAGGATTTTGCCCTGACTGTAATGCTGGTAGTAATGGCTACTAGAACATTGCCAAATTCAATATGGTCACCTGAAGACACATGGGACGCAAGCATCAGAATAAAGGACATGTACTGTATTTTGCATTAAGGAAAGCCATCATTTAAACCACCAGAGAATGAAACATACACAGACCAAGCTTTTTCAGGTTACCAGTTGCTAAGGCACTTAAATTTGTCCTTTACAATATAACAGAAGGAAGAAATAAGGGTATAGTATATTAGTTAAAATACAGATGCAAAGCATGTATATGTGTAGGTGGGAATAAGCAGAAAGTAACCTGATACAATTACGTAGACCAAACGGTTGATGTTTGCAGTTTCTTACATTTCTACATACCGTAATTTGAACTGAGATCGCACTTCCCCATGTTCTATTTGAACCAGTTCATTGTAACAAGCAGTTATGCTGCTATTCTCCATGAATTGCTGGAAGACAAATCAAGAGTGCATGAAATAGATTGCAATGGTTTTGAACTGTTATTTCTGTTCCTGCATCTAAAGCTCTAACCTTATAAAGAGAGGTGGCACAAGCCCAGCAAAGGGCCACGAAGGTGGTTAAGCATCTCCTGTGAGGAAAGGCTCAGAGAGTGGGGACTGCTCAGCCTGGAGAAAAGAAGGCTCAAGGGGGGTTCTCATGAAGGTATATAAATATCTGAAGAGAGAGTGTAAGAAGACAAAGCCACCAGTGGTGCCCAGTGGACCAGAGGCAATGGACACAAACGGAAACACAGGAGGTTCCCTCTGAAAATTAGGAAACATTTTTTTTTATTGTGAGGGTGACTGAGCACTGGCACAGGTTGCCCAGGGAGGTTGTGGAGTCTCCATCCTTGGAGATCTTGAAAAGTTGTGTGAGCAGGGTCCTGGGCAACCTGCTTTAGGTGGCCCTGCTTGAGCAGGGAGCTGGGGGAGGTGACCTCCAGAGGTCCCTGCCAAGCTCAATCATCCTGTAATTCTGTAGAAATAAAAAGCTTTAGTTGTACCTTTTCTGTTCAGTAATCATCTTTTCCCAGGAATGAATTTCTAGTTGTTAAGACAACATAGCTATCTAAATAGAAAGTAAGTATAAAAATATGCTAAAACCTCAACTGTGAATTTTCCCATTTGGTTTTAGTAACCCAGTTAGAAACAGATAATCTAAAAAAACCCAAACACAGTCTCACACAAACGCAGTATTGTCTTCATGTTTCATTTTGAACATCTGTCCTTAATTCAGAATGGAAAATACCTTAGAGATGTACAACATTCATGCTAAAAAAAACCAGAAGAAAAAAAAAAAAGGTATTTGGCATTTAATTTGTTTTCAAGCAAATACTGCAGCTGAAGCTCAGAAGGTGAAGTAACTTTTCTCCACAAGTAATCTCACTGAGCTGTCACTGTGAATTCAGAAGTGCAGAAAAGTATATAAAGTAAGGAGCATGCTGACAACAGTCAACAAATTTTACATACTCCAGATGGGAGACAATGTCCTCTTTTTGCTGGGGAAAGGTAGTAAGCTGAAAGGTCTTGTGCTTGGTCCTACTGAAATCAGAAATTTTATGTTGATACAAAAGAAGTAGGTTCTCTGGCTTCAGTTAAAATTTACTGCTCATTAGTAAACTTCTGCTATGAGGAGCTAAATCACTCCTTTAGAAATACATGCACCAACTCTACTTTTCACAGAAAATACCCTGTGTTGTAACTAGTTCTCACAGCACAACATGCAGAGTCAAGAGGCAGCACTCAAACCTCTGAGGAACAAAGAATGCCTTTTAAGAAATCTGTGTATGAAAAATTGTGTTTTGGGGACCAACGGCTTAATCCCACATTGCCAGCAAAATGTAAAAAACTAAAATTAAAAATAACTTTTGATATGGGTCTGCTTCACTCCTTAATGTTAGGATCTTAAAATATTTCTATAACTCTCACTTCACACACTAAGTGAATGCATGGCAAACCAAAAGACACAATATCAAACTGGCAGAAGCAAAGGCGCAAATGATGTTGTGTTTTTGCATAACAAACTGCCTACAAACAAACTTGCATTCTACAGCACTGTAGAATTAGATTTTCAGTTTTAGGTGGTCTTTTCAATATTCAAATATGCTTATGCTAAATTTAAAACAATATAAAACTAAATATATCGATAATACACAATTTAAGAATTATGGCAACCTATTTTACAAACAGTCCTTACTAGAATATACTAAAGCTCTTTATAAACTGAATTTTAAAGTAGTGATGTTTACTGACAAAAATCAACCACTATCTCTGCAGAATTCTTTTGCTAAGAACAAAGAACTGCATCTTGTTGAAGTGCTAAACCTGCTTTTAAATGTTATGTAGTCCTCTGCTGATGCACAGAGTCTTTTTATTTAAGTTTATAGTACTAATGCAATTTATTCACTGGCTCACTTAAAGCTGAAAAATCAACTGGGACCTGAAAAAAGCAGAAAACATTTTCTTTTTCGAATCTGGGCATCTAAATGAAGTTCAAGAAGATGAAGTTCGATTAACTCTCAAATATTAGAAGGCAGACAACAATATTTTCTTTTAAAAAAGTTTAGTATTTAGTATTTATACAGTACATTTTGACTGGGGAGTTCAACCACCCTGGCATCTGCTGGAAAAGTAGTATGGTGAACTGTAGGCAATCCAGGAGACTCCTGGAGAACATCGAGGATAACTTCTTAAGCCAGATGATAGACAGCCCTACCAGAGGGAATGTGATACTGGACCTGATGGTCTCCAACGCAAGCAAGCTAATCGGTGAGTTCAAGATTGGAGGCAGCCTGCGCTGCAGTGATCATGCACTGGCAGAGTTCACAGTCCTGGTGGATATGGGTCAGGCAAAGAGTAAAGTCAGGACCCTGAATTTTAGGATAGCAAAATTCCAGCTGTTCAAGGAGTTAGTCAATAGGACCACCTGGGAAACTGCCCTCAGGGACAAGGAAGCAGAACAGAGCTGGCAGATCTTTAAGGACGTTTTCCATAGAGTGCAAGAGCTCTCAATCCCCAGGTGTAAGAAATCAGGGAAGGACAGCAGGAGACTAGCATGGATGAGTCAAGATCTGCTGGTCAAACTAAAGAGCAAGAAGGAAATGCACAGGCAGTAGAAGCAGGGACAGGTATCCAAGAAAGAGTATAGGGACGCTGCCCAGTTGTGTAGGGATGGGGTCAGGAAGGCCAAGGCACAGCCAGAGCTGAACTTGGCAAGGAGGGCAAAGAATAATAAAAAGAACTTCTACAGGCATGTCAGCCTGAAAAGGAAGGTCAAACAAAGCGTACCCCCCTGATGAACGTGACTGACAAACTGGTAACAACAGATGAGGAGAAGGCTGAGGTACTCAGCAACTTCTTTGCCTCAGTCTTCACCAGCAATTTCTCTTCCCAGACCTCTCAAGTGGATGGTCCGCAAGACAGGGACTGGGGGAGCAAAGTCCCTCCCACTGTAAGAGAAGATCAGGTTCAAGACCACCTAAAGAACCTGAACATATACAAGTCTATGGGATCTGACAAGATGCATCCCAGAGTCCTGAGGCAATTGGGTGATGTAGTTGCCAAGGCCACTCTCCATGATATTTGAAAAGTCCTGGCAGTCAGGTGAAGTCCCAGCTGACTGGAAAAAGGGAAACATTGCACCCATTTTTAGGCAGGGTAGAAAGGAGGACCCTGGGGACTACTGACCTGTCAGCCTCACCTCTGTGCCTGGGAAGATCATGGAACAGATTCTCCTAGAAGCTATGCTAAGGCACATGGAGGACAGTGAGGTGATTCAAGACAGCCAGCACGGCTTCACCAAGGGCATGTCTTGCCTGACCAACCTAGTGGCCTCTGTGACGGAGTGACTACATCTGTGGACAAGGCAAGAGCTACAGATGTCATCTATCTGCACTTCTGTAAGGTCTTTGACATGGTCCCCCACAACATCTTGTCTCTAAATTGGAGAGATACAGATTTGATGGATGGACAGTATGGCGGATGAGGAAGTGGTTGGATGGTCATATTCAGAGGATAGTGGTCAACAGCTCGGTGTGCAGATGGAGATCTGTGAAAAGTGGTGTCCCTCAGGGGTCTGTACTGGCCCAAAGTCAATTCTATAAGTTTCAACAAGGCCAAGTGCCAGGTCCTGCACTTGGCTCACAACAACCCCATGCAACGCTACAGGCTTGGGGAAGAGTGGCTAGAAAACTGCCCAGAGGAAAAGGACCTGGGGGTGTTGGTTGACAGCTGGCTGAACATGAGCCAGCAGTGTGTCCAGGGGGCCAAGAGGGCCAACAGCATCCTGGCTTGTATCAGGAATAGTGTGGCAGCAGCAGGAGCAGGGGATTGTCCCGCTGTACTCAGCACTGGTGAGGCCGCACCTCAAATACTGTGTTCAGTTTTGGGCCTCTCAGTACAAGAAGGACATTGAGGTGCTGGAGCATGTCCAGAGAAGGGCAATGAAGCTGGTGAAGGGTCTAGAGAACAAGTCTTATGAGGAGTGGCCGCGGGAACTAGGATTGTTTAGCCTGGAGAAGAGGAGGCTGAGGGGAGACCTTATCGCTCTCTACAACTATCTGAAAGGAGGTTGTAGTGAAGTGGGTCTCGGTCTCTTCTCCCACGTAACTAGTGATAGGACGAGAGGAAATGGCCTCAAGTTGCATCAGGGGAGGTTTAGATTAGCTATTAGGAGAAATTTCGTTATTGAAAGAGCGGTCAAGCATTGGAACAGGCTGCTCAGAGGGGTGGTGGAGTCACCATCCCTAGAGGTGTTCAAAAAATGGGTAGACGTGGCACTCTGGGACATGGTTTAGTAGGCATGGTGGCGTTGGTTCGATAGTTGGACTGATGATCTTAGAGGTCCTTTCCAACCTTAGTGATTCTATGCTAGTTTTATTTTCATTAAAAAATAATCCAGCCACCAAGCCAGGAAACATGAAACTAATTATTACTCTACCCTTAATTGTTTTAGTGGTGGACTTGGTAGTGTTAGGTTAATGGATGGACTTTTCCAACCTAAACGATTCTATGATTCTATGATAACACCTTCATCAGGGACATAGACAGTGGGACCGAGAGCACCCTCAGCAAGTTTGCAGATGACACCAAGCCGAGTGGCGAAGTTGACACTCTGGGGGGCTGGGATGCCATCCAGAGGCACCTGGACAACCTTGAGAAGTGGGCCCATGTGAACCTCATGAGGTTCAACAAGGCCAAGTGCAGGGTCCTGCACCTGGCATGGGGCAACTCCCAGGATCAAGACAGGCTGTGGGATGAAGGGATTGAGAGTAGCCTTGTGGAGAAGGGTATACTGGTGGATGAAAAGCTGGATGTGAGCCAACACTGTGTGCTCGCAGCCCAGAAAGCCTACTGTATCCTGGGCTGCATCAAAAGAAGCATGGCCAGCAGGCCAAGGGAGGTGATTCTGCCCCTCTACTCTGCTCTGGTGAGACCTCACCTGGAGTACTGCATCCAGCTCTGGACAAATTTGGTGGCCACCTACAATGGTGTTACAACATTGGTGGATAAGGGAAGAGCGACTGATGTCATCTACCTGGACTTGTGCAAAGCATTTGATCCTTTCCCGCACAACATCCTTTTCTCTAAAATGGTCATACTGAAAGAGTTGAGGTCAATGGCTTGATGTCCGGGTGGAGGAGACCAGTGATGAGTGGTGTCCCTCAGGGGTCCATATTGGGACCAGTATTATTTAACCTCTTTGCCAGGGACATGGACAGTGGGATTGAGGGCACCCTCAGCAAGTTTGTGGATGACACCAAGCTGAGTGGTGTGCTTGATACTCTAGAGGGAAGACTTGCCATCCAGAGTGACCTGGACAGGCTAGAGGGGTGGCCCTGTGTGAACATCATGAAGTTCAGCAAGGCCAAGTGCAAGGTCCTGCACCTGGGTTGGGGCAATCCCAAACATGGATACAGGCTGGGTGATGAGTGGATTGAGAGCAGCCCTGCGGAGACCGAGTTGGCGATATTGGTGGATGAAAAACTGAATATGAGCCAGCAATATGTGCTTGCAGCCCAGAAAACAGTCATATCCTGGCTGCACCAAAAGAAGTGCAGCCAGCAAGTTGAGGGAGTTGATTCTGCCCCTCTACTCTGCTCTCATGAGACACCACCTAGAGTACTGCACCCAGCTCTGGAGTCCTCAGCACAGGAAAGAAAAAGGCCTGTGGGAGCAGGTCTAGGGATGGGCCACAAAAATGATCAGAGGGCTGGAAGAAAGGCTGAGAGATTTGAGGTTGTTCAGCCTGGAGAAGAGAAGGCTGCTGGGAGACCTTATTGCAGCCTTTCAGTACTTAAAGGGGGCTTATAAGAAAGATGGGACAGACTTTTTAGTAGGGCTTGTTGCAATAGGAGAAGGGGTAATGGTTTTACACTAAAAGAGGGTAGATTTAAACTAGATATAAGGAAAAGATTTTTTACAATGAGGGTGGTGAAACACTGGAACAGGCTGCCCAGAGACATGGTAGATGCCCCATCCCTGGAAACGTTCAAGGTCAGGCTGGACAGGGCTCTGAGCAACCTGATCTAGTTGATGTCCCTGCTTATTGCAGGGTGACTGGACTAGATGACCTTTAAAGGTCCCTTCCAACCCAAACTATTGTATGATTCTATGATTTAACTAACATACACTCTTAAGTTGCATTTTACTTCATTATAATTGGATTCCACTGTCATCCTATACAGAACTTGACCCAAGCCACAAGAGTCATCAGCTAGTAGGAATGCATCATTCTTTTCGTTTAGCAAGAATTACTAGGTTTAATAGTTAGGATTTATTTTGTTGCAAACCAGAAAGTTTTAATACTAACTGGTCAATGAGAATCAACATCTGTTTAGGTAAAGAACTAAAGTTCAAAATACAAGACAAGATTGTAATTGTCTAACTGCAAACATTAAGGTCCCCTGTTTGTTAATTTAAATCATAGTTAAAAATCAGTTAGGAAGCCAAATCACTTATTGAAATTAGGCCATCCTAAGTAGGTTATCACTATTAGATTTATGAGGCTAAGAGTAAAAAAGAAAAGAAAAATCAGCATAGTAAATGTACTGCATTAACAACACCATTAATAAACAAACACAATTCTGTTAATGATACAGGGAAAAAAAAAATCAGAAGATGTAATAAAATAGACTTTCTTAAGAAGGAGGAAGAAAAAACAGAAAAAACCCAGCACAAAAAAATGTCAAAGGAGCTTATAAAACGAACAGAAAAGACTCCCCAAATCTCTCTCTTTTCATAAGATCTTTTAGTGATCATAGTGATCCAGATCTGGATAGTGATCAATCATCACTGATTTCATTAAAAGAAATGAAATGTGATTTTTTTTTTTTAAGGACTACTTACAATATATTTTATAGGTACATATAAACTTAAAAAGATATTATTCTCACATAAGTGCACATGAAGGCAGCAGAACATTGTGAAGTGGAATAATCAGCTATTCACTTCATGGAAAGAAAAATCATGGTTATTTATAAAAGTATCCCTGAAAAAAGATTGAAGGAGTTCTTCAGAATCTTTAGATCCAAACCTGATGTAAAAAGTCTGGTTTTGTCTGCAAAACTCTACAAAAAGGTGACAGACTAATTGGCTAGAAGCTCATACTCTCCAGCTAATCAAGTTGGAGACGCATTTAGAAGACAGCCACCACCAGACGGAGCAATTGCATTCAGTGTTTTGTCAAGGGAAGAGGAGGAAGAAGATGAGCACAAATAGGACAAGTGTTAATACAATGAATAGTGATAGTGCAAAATAAAGCTACCAGAAAGGCTGGACTGTAAAAGTAAAAATAGTGAAGAGAAACTTATAATTTGAACAGATATGATTTTCCAAAAATAAATTTCATTTT